GAGATTAGCTTATTCTTTCATGAGTAACACAAAAGGTTGTATGAGTTGCCGACGTTGAGAAACTAGAAGCATATATCTCCATTATTCTGTACAAATCGGAAAAAATCTTCTCGCCCTCATTATTTGGCCTTATGGAGCATCTTGTCATACATTTATCAGATGAAGTTTTGTTTAGCAGAAGAGTACAATATCGATTGATGTATCATTTTGAAAAATTAGTTCTTATTAATTTACACTAATGGCTACGTTAGTATCTCAATTGATATCTCAATGGTTAAAATTCATGCAGCTATTTAGGATCAATATTGAAGACGAAGTTTAATAACAAAGCTAGAGTTGAAGCATCGATGAGGAAATGATATTTACAAAGTGAAATAGGTACATTTGCAAGTTACTACTTCCAGGAGGAAGTAACCACAGAAGTGCTTCTCGTCCCAAGATTAAATGATAGGTTCATGATTAATGATCACACCATTGTTTCAGTTTTTCTCACAAAAGGCAAAAAAGTAAACGGTGCAAGCACATGTCCATACATGGACCAAAATGAAACTAATGCAATGCACTAATATCTATTACAAAACTGTCTAGAGATTGACCAATTTAGAGAGTAAGCAACTTTTGTCTAAATATTAATTCTTTGCATGAAAAGCAATCATAGTCTAATATTACTCCTGATTAATTGCCGAACGATTAGCTAGGCTATGTTTGGCACAACGAGCTGAAGCTGGATGCTAATGTCTGAATTAGGACCTATTGTCTGAATAAAAAACTATTTTCTGAAGCTGAACTTTGAAGTGCTGAATCTGATTTGCTAGATGAATGGAATAAACCCGTTTGGCAAAAAGAGCTGAAAAATATCCGGATAGTATGAAATTACATTAAAGGGCATATGATTTATTAATAGAATAATATACTTATTATAATGATTTTATATTTTCAATCTTTTAAAATCATAGTATATACTTAATATATTTATATGTATGTGTGTGTCTATATATATAATGTTTAAATTTATATATGTATATATATTATTTTATTTTTCATAGCCGAGAATCTAACTAGTAACTTTTTTTAAGTTTGTCAGTAACTATTATTATCACCATTATTTTTTTGATTAATGAGAACAACTAGTCAATCGTGTTCAATGATGATGTATATTCCAATTCCCACAAGCAATATAATACACAAACAAGGAAGCGGTGATTCGGTGAAGGGATTAGACGAAGAAAGTGGTGATGAGAAGGAGAGAAAGATGATAGTCTCGAGGATAATTTGGGAACTTTAGAAAATTTTAAAACCGGCTGAACAGAAACGTTGAGGTGGAAAGCGTTGCTATTCAGTCCTATTTTTTTCAGATTCAGCCCAGTTAAGCTATTTTACCAAACAGGTCTACTCCAAAAATAATTGACTGGAATTAAAATATTCTAGCCCATTTTGAGCTTTTGTGGCTTGCCAAACATAGCCATAATGACATGCAATTTCAAGGACAAGATGTAACAATTTGAAGTCCAAAGTCCATGTTGTGTGCTCACATCAACTGTCTTGTACTCTTGTACAATGGATGGACTCGTATACCTCTATGTGAAGGATTAATTAATCCATTCACATTTGAATACGATTACCTTATAATCTTGATATTCCAACTGAATTGTTTATTATAAGGATGTTTTTACTTAGACTTATTTCAGTCTTAGACCAGATCAGACAAGACCAGATCTAACTTAAACAGACCAATTCAAACCAGCCTAGAAAATTTGATTCCAAATAAAATCAACCTTACTACTCATTTTGAAATCTAGACATACAATATAATAGTACATATTACTTCTTACATAGGGAAAAGAGGCAAATAAGGCCACGTACTAACCAAAAAAGGTCAAATAAGGCCTTGTTTATGAGACTCTGTCCGGCCTTCGCCATTTGGGGTGGTTCTAGGTGGAATTTTTTGATGATTTTTTTTTACCATCTTATTCATTAAGTCTAGTTTACTCATACCAAATTTCAGATAAAAATTTAATCGAGAAGGCATTCAAATGAATTCTTGAAGATAACTGCGCTTTTAACTGCGCAATTATCTTAAAGAATTCATTTGATTGGCTTCCCGATCGAATTTTTAGCTTAAATTTGGTATGAGTAAACTAGACTTACTGAATAAGATGCTCAAAAAAATTCATCAAAAAATTTCATCGAGAACCAACCCAAATGGCGAAGTCCGGACAGAGCCTCATAAATAAGACCTTATTTGACCTTTTTTGGTTAGTACGTGACCTTATTTGCCCCTTTTCCCTCTTACATATAATAAATTGAAGTATTGTTTCCCATTTTCTTCACTATATTCTTATCAACATCATATTACTAGTAAATAAACAATATGCAAGTATTTCTCTTTCAACTAATTAATAAATACTCCGTATAACAATGTAAAAATATTTGTTCTCTAGATCTTAAATTTATTTGAACTTATTTTTCTATGAATTTGAAAACCAAGAAACATAAAAATATAATTATAAATTTGATCTACATGACTACATCACATATAATGAATAAAAATTTGTCTTTTTCTTTGCACTTGATCATCTTCATCCGACACGCATAATTATTTCATTTATTCATTATATCACAAAAGGCGCTAGAATAAACTAAAAACAACAATACCAAGTTTAAATAGTTAAAAACAACATAAACACAGATATCCGACACTCATAGAGTCATAGTTATTTTAGTATATCATAAAAGGGGCTAGAATAAACTGAAAACAACAGTATCAAGTTTAATTAGTTAAAAACACAGATAAATTAAATTTTATAACAAAAAATAAAACCACTAACCTCATACCCGTTCACCCGTTGAATGTGCGCCGTTGCGCCAAGAATGGCTAGAGTAAGATCTGGCCGAATAAGATATGTGTGTGCAATAAAGATTTTAGGTGGAGTAGGTGGGAATTTAATTCTTGTAATTTAGTGGAAATTTTTAGTGGCAGAAATTTGGGCTGTTGTTTTATCGAGGACCGTGGATGTTTTTACTAATTTGGTTTGGTATGGTCTGATTTGGTCTGAATTGATATGTTCTGGTCTGATTTTTTTATATTTTTATTACTATCCAAATCTGGTTTGGTCTGAACTAGTCTGCTCTGGGAGGAATTACGGTTCAAGTAAAAACATCGTGTGTCTGCTAGTAAAAAAGGATGACACCACATCCCTGAGGGCCCTCATCACCGATCGATCGATACGTTGGGAGAATGTAAATTGAATTATAATCACAATGTAACAGATAGAGAGGGGCTCTGTTTCCGATACTTGCAAAGGCTCTATGCATTTTTTAGCATAATAACCTTTCATCGCAGTTGTCGGGATTCGAACTCGTGACCTAACTCATGTGGCACTCTCTCGCTACCAGTTGAGCTACGCCCACCGGTGAAATGCATCCCTCACTATATCTGAAAGCAATATCCGAATTTCTTGTAAATATTTTGAAGTTATTGAAATTCAAAATGATACAGTCCACTTCAGCATAACCAACAAAATCATGTTATTCAAAAATCAAAATAAGATAACATGAAGAACTTCCTTATAAACAACATTTGTTGTCTCATTCAAGCTTTGATCATTGTCATCTAAAATTAAAAATTTTAATCTTCACTGAAAATAAATCGCGAACTCGCGAAGTTGATCATGGCTGAAAACCGATTTCTTCAATAATAAACCGACATGTGAAAGAGATCGTCTTTCACTCTTTAATGATCATATCATAAGCAACCATTATAACATAAGTAACCATTATAACATAAGTAACAAAAACTAAGATAACACTCCGTACAAGGTACAACAATGATAAACTTGCCCTTTGTTATTTTCATCGAAACAGATACACCGGGACGGCGGGACACCTTGAAATGGATTTAAAACAATCGAAAAACTATTCACTTTAGTAGACTTCAATGGGAAGATTTCACCACGTCATCCAAGTTGATGTTTTTAGTATACACATTACACAATTCATATTCTCTATATCTACAAAAAAGAATGAAAAAACGTATTTAAAATATGGTAATAAATTTTTATTCAAATCTCATGCATCTTAAAGCAATTTAAAAAAACTCATACATATAACACAAACAGCCATTTAATAGATAAATCATAAATAGTACGAAGTATAAGGAATTTTAGCAAATAAATTTGTTAAATACCTCAGCAAACAACCGATTCATAATACTTTTTTAAATATTAATTATATACTCCCTCTGTTCTTTTTTAGTTGCATCATTCCATTTTTCATTTGTCAACGCACAACTTTGAGCGTCATTATATTTAGTTCTCTCTTAGTATAATTTAAAATCAGATTATGAAACTTTATAATGAGACAAATTCAACAATATTTTTCGAAAAAAATAATTCATATAGTAATTAAATAAAATGTAGTCAAAGTAGAGTACATAAATAAATAATGTATAAATTCCAATGTTACAACTAATACGATACAGAGGATACTATGTTATAATGTTTCCTCATATACAGAGTATTACTAGGGATGGACCCGGGCTGGACCGGTTCCGGATCCGGGCCAGGGCCGGGCGGGCTTTTTTTTCAAATTGTTGGGCCCGAAACCGGCCCGGGTTGATACCGGGTCCGGACCTAACCAGGCTGGGCCCGAGTCAAGGTAAATTTTTTTTTTATTTCTAATTAACCCCCGACCACCCCCCCCCCCCTTCACCCCCACCTCCCAAACCCCCCCAAAACACCCAGCCCTAACCAAGAAAACAAAAAAATTGAAAAAACCAAAAAAAAGCCCGGGCCGGTTCAACAAATACAAGGCCCGAGCCGAGCCCGACCAACCCTCCCCAACCGGGTAAAAGCCCAGGCCCGGATAGCACCAACCGGGTCGATCCGGGCCCGCACAATGGCAGGCCGGGCCGGTTCCGGGCCGGACCGAACCCATTGGATCCATCCCGAAGTATTACCGAGTAGATTAAAAAAACATCCAACATTTCCAAACAGCTCACAAGATCTCTTATTACCAAATGCACACTGAGTTTTAAAATTGTTGGAAAACTAGGAGTTACTTGTTTATGACTATGGGTATATAGCATACACTGATTTCATAAGATACTATTATTACCAATTGGGGAAATTTGACTTTGCATCCCACTTTTTGGATGATATTGGACTTTGCACCCCATTTTCAAAAAACTTTGACTTTGCACCCCAACACATACCATTTTGTGAAGAAAAATTTCTAAATAGGGTGCAAAGTTAAAGGAATTTTAAGTTAAATGGGGTGCAAAATCAAAGCTTTTTCAAAATGGGATGCAAAGTTCAATATCACCCAAAAAGTGGGGTGCAAAGTCAAATTCCTCCTTACCAATTACATAGTACATATTTCAAGTTCCAACTGGTAGCCAATAACGTCAACTTTCACAGTATATTGAAATTTTCAGCTACCTTTTTTACTTGAGTCCGCATGCTAACGAGACCCCTCAGAGCCCTTAAAACATTTAAATTCACAAGTGAAATTGAATATACAATGTCTATGGATCAGCAGTTCAGCACCATGTCTCATACCTACAACGGCAAAAGCTCAAAACCAAGTCAACTATCTTTTCATTCTTCAGAAAAGACGCCAAAGAAGGTTATCAAAATTTGAAAAAAAGAACATCAAACACAGCTCTTCAAAGAGTCCCCGGCTCCTTGGAAGAAGCAACAAGAGAGTCCAAAGTCAGCAATGAAAATACCGACAAGAGATATGACGACAGCTGAAGTGGTTGACTCTCCAACTCCCTTGGCCCCACCAAGTGTCGTCACACCCCAAGCACAGCTGACTGTGGATATGATCGCACCAAAAACCCCAGACTTAATCATTGCACTAACAATATCCCATGACCTAAGCGCCCTTCGGGCAGAGTCCAATATTATGTTGACGCTAATCCCATACACAGCATCAGAAAGAACTGCACTGGACGCCATCCCAACTGTAAAACACATCAGGGTCAAAATGGGTAAAGCGATAAAAGATGCAATCACCCGTGGGGTCACCAAGTAGTCAACTGGGTCTGACCCAAGAACCCGTAGTGTGTCAGTTTGCTCAGAGACCTGCATCGTGCCTAGCTCTGCAGCAAATGCACTACCAATCCGCCCGGCGACAACAATTGATGTGACGACCGGACTTAGTTCTCTTGCAAAGGCTAGGGCCAAGACCCCACCCACAGACCGGTTTAACCCTAGCCTTGTGAACTCCCTTACGAATTGAATTGTGAAGGCCATGCCGACAAAAGCTGAGGTCAATAGACAAACGCCGACGGATTTAGGGCCAACCCTCTCTAGTTGTTGCAAGGTGTTTCTCCAGTGGATTTTACCCTTTACTATCCGTATGATCACTTGTCCAGCTATGATGAGTACGGATAGTCCCCTCCATAAATACCTAGGAGGAGACCATTTACTGAACAGGGTTTCTGATTCATTACTCAACTGAAAGCTGGCAACTGTGTCATCTTCTGTAGAGGCAGATACACAAATATGCCCATCAGTAGTATTAGGAAACACATAACATCGTTTTAGTTGTGCAGACCTGGTATTCTTAAGAATCTGAATTCGTCGAGGAAAATAAACTTTGGGTGAGCATGGATTTGAGCATAACAATTTTGTTTTCCTCTGACTGTTCTTATGGACAGTGCTGATTCCGTTGTCCACGAAATAACACACTAGGTGATTGGGAGAAGTGATTTGGAGCATTTTACACTCTTACACCTTACCAGGTCCCACACCTGATATGCGATTCTTTCAATATGTTTGCTGCAAAGAATGAGAGAAAGATAATGAGAATGTGCAAAAATGTAATACCCTTTCTCCAAGGACCAAACTGGACAAGCAGTTTCCAGGAGGAAGGAAAAGAAAGTTTATCAATTTTAGGTGCAGCTAGCAGTTATCTCTATTCTTTACATAAAAACTTTTACATATTAGATTGAGATAGCTTGCATTTGTATGTTGATTGTGATATGAAGTAGGAACAAAGTAGGTTGAGTATGACAGGTGACTAATCACGGACATCTAAACACTGGGGACTGTCCATATATCCTTTATATCACAATTCAGGAGATGCAGAAACAGACAAAACTCTAAACAAATGGAATATTAATCCTCCAAAAAGGAAAAAACCAATCAGCAAGTTACATTGAAGATTCAGAAGGCCCTTTAAGCAGATGAACCAACCACTAAATAATGTTAAACTCACTTAAGACTACATCAATGTTGTAACTTTTTTCTAAAACTTCAGGATAACGTTGAAACCAATCATGTATTTGAAATCTCATTTGTATCAGTACATCAACTCGCCTTACCAATGGTAAATCATCTTATCGACACAGTTTTTTATATAATTAAAATAAAACTATAAATTTAGAGGAGTAGAAAAGAAAGAGATTTTGAACCTATAACATTCAATGAGACAAGAATTATACTCCCTCCGTCCCGGTCATTTCTTCCAAGTTTGACTTGGCTCGCAAATTTAGAAAGTGAGAATAAAGTGGAAATGTATGGTTGTAGTTGTGTAAGAAAAAGGTGAATGAATGTGAACCACATATTTTTTCCAAAAGTGAAAGTTGAAAGAATTAATTGGGACGGCCCAAAAAGGAAAGTTGGAAGAAATGAACGGGACGGAGGGAGTAAATAAATTTCGAGTACCGAAGTGGACCCATATTTGAATGAAGTGGACAACATATGAAGAGTTGCAAACCTAGGATTCAATTTCAACAGTAGACCTTTGGACACAACCCTAATGGTGGTTGCAGATTGTATTCACATAGTACTGAGAAGCCCTACACTTGAGCTCTTGTCTGATAATCTCTGACTAAGTAGCACGGAAACGGGAAGCAGGAAACGCCGGAAACATCATTTACGAAATATATAGGAAACGAAACATGGGGGAAACGCGTATATAAAAAATATATAGGGAGTTTTTTTATAAATAAATAAATCATATATATACACAATCACACACACACTAAACACACACCATGGGTCATCCCGAAACAGTCTCTTGTGCTTTAGTACAAGGGTAAGGTTGCGTACATCCGACCCCCCTTACTCCATTGTAGGTGGGAGCCTTTGTGGCACTGGGGTAATGATGATGATGACACACAAAACACAGATATATATTAATAAATAGATACTATTACATATATATATATATATAAATGATACATAAATAAATAATATACACACACACACACTAAACACTGAAGTATCAAACTTGCACCTTAGATATTATGCAAATTAAAGTAGCAATTTTTGTTGCGCATAGTAGGGGTGGGCATAAACAACCGTAACCGATTAACCGAACAAAAAAAACGAAAAACCAGTGTTTTTTCGATTAACCGTACCGAAATATTTAAAACTCACGGTACGGTTAATTGGCCGGGAGGGAAAATGGTTCACGGAACGGTTACGGTTTTGAAATCATCTTCCGCCGGTTAGCCGATAACCGTAACCCCAGTCCTCAAATATTATATGATTTCCGTATTATTGACTCTTGGTAAGTGATGATGATGAATGGTATGGATTGGAGACAAATGAACAGTAAATACCGGTGAAGTTTCAGAACTATGCATCTATATTCACGTTTGTACATAATGGAATATATACAAAGCTACTCACAGTGACACACTTATATAGCTCAAGTAAATGGAAAGAATATTTCTAGACTAAAGCAAAGCTACTCACATGTACATATCTTTAGTAATATACGTATAAACGGTATAATAATACTCCGTAGAAGTATAGGAGCATATAATGTGGAATAGTAGTACAGTAGTACTACATAGAACACAAGGAAGGATATACGGACCAACTAAAGTTTGGAAACCAGAGGATTTATTGGAAAACTATTGCAATGGAAGTTTCTTTTTTAATCTTGGACCGCTAAGTACGCAGTATTTTAAGGAGTTTACTATTTTCTTTTTCATGGTTTTATGGTTAACTGATTAGTGGTTAACCGAAATTTTGGTTAACCAAGTATCGGTTAACCAATGTTATGGTACGGATAATGGTATCAACAATATATTAAACAAAATTGCAGTTAACCGAAAAATTGGTTAACCGAAGCCTGGTTAACCAACCCTAGCGCATAGTATTCCATTACTACCCTATTCCTACTTTTCATATACATTTATATGTTTAAATGAATGAAAAATGTTTAATAAATTACATAATCACTTAGTGGACAGCTGTCATCAAGTTCACCTACTACTCTACTAGACCAAGTCTACAACATTACTCGTACTACTAGTACAAGTAATTCCAACCCCAAATCCCACCCACCGACTGAAGGGAGAACTCTGCTGTAGAGAAACCGAACCAGAACCAAGTACAATCAGAGTCGGACGGGTTGAGACGGCAGATAACACAGTCGACATAGCAAGAGGAGAAAAGATTGGGACTTTCCTTGAGCTGCTGAAGACGAAGAGCGCAGATGATGGTAGGATCTTTGCTGAAGACGGCCAATCGCTGAAGAAGAAGAAGACCACATATACTCCGCAGATTCCAAATTTCTTCAGTTTTTTTTTGTGAAACTCTGTTTTTTGGGGGTAACGAGTTTCCAAACTTTCGAAAATAAAGAAACGGGCCCGACACGCGCTTTGGGCATTTCTCGCGTTCGAAAACGTTAGTACGTTTCAGCTACGGCGAAACACTGGGCTTTCCACGTTTCCGTGCATTATAGATCTCCGATTCTATGTCCCTCAAGAATCAGATACATGAAAAAACAGATTGATCCTGGAACGTAAGAGTTCAATGAAAAGGTGTTATGTTCATCAATTTCTTATCTAAATTACATACATGAAGTCTGAGCTTTGATTAGCTAATAATGCTAATTATAAGTTTGCAGACTCGGTTAGCTGGAAATGGCTGAAATTTTTGAATGGAAATGCTTTTGTTAGCATGCCCAACTCTCATTTAAGTAAGTTCAACCAAAAGACTACTTATTAGGTTGACAAACAAAATAAGTAGCTATAAGAAATCACATTTGAGCAAACCTATTCATCTTCTAAGAAATAAGCAACAAAAAAGAAATCACATTTCTTCAAATTTTAATCTTGAAAAAGCTTGTTTATTCAAGAAATTAGTGTAGTTGCAAAGGGACTAGAGAAAAAATAGCATGACAAGGGTAGGTAATCTTTTGAATGTTTTCAAATTTGGCATTGGGTGATAATATTTGGGGCAAGAATCGGATATTATAGGTTTAAGTGTCTAACACGAATTGTAGCATGACAAAAGTATGTGAAAAGAAATTGAACAATTTGGTCCTTTATTTAGACAACATCAAAAAAATAATGAAAACAGGCAATTGAAGATGAATAAAATAGAATATAATTATTGTTTTCTTCAATTTTCAATTTTAAATGAACACACAACTCAATAAATTATAATTATGGCAGTACATATAATTGAACTCGCGCAAATGAAAGAAGATATGAGAAAACCACAATATACAAAAAAATGTCTTCCACTTGAATTAGAGGATTGTGACCAATACAAAAAAATCAATATGTCTTCCACAATCACATTGATGCTAATGAGAATTATACTCATAAATCACATTCAGTTTTAATACTAAATGTGAAAATGGTCATTTCTCCTTCTCATAAACATACCTAAAAATGTCAAAATCACAATCACATATTCATAGAAGCTAAAAATATAAAAAATTACTAGACATATAATCTTATTCACAGTCGATTGGACAAAGAAACTAACAAATTACCTCAAATTCTGCAAATAAAGCTCAGACTAAAAAAGTAAAAATAAAATAAGTTAAAACTAAAATAAGCATACCTGAAGTCTGAACTCTAAAGGCCTAGCCAGTAGCGGCACTGCGGAGGATTAGAAAGCGGAAAGCGGAATGCTGCACAGCATTGGTGGAGGATTAGGGCAGTGACCGGCATGACTGACTCTGAGTGACTGAAGACGATGGGCGACTGGAAGGAGTGGGACTTGGCGACCTGCGACTTACACTTGCCACTTGCGAGTTGCAAAGCCAGGAAGGGTTGAGGGTATTTAGATCTAGCACGGAAATAATTGCAACAAAATTTTTTTGGTAAGAAAAAATAGCCAAAATACAAACAGGGCCAAAATGCCTGCAAGACCGCTGCTCACAGCCGTTTAATATCTATCGATATGTTATGAGCTTTGCCACATCAGCTTGCTACGTCAGCTTGCCACCTCATGTTATGAACCACGCATGCACACACGTGATCACACAAGCAGTTAGCTTTAACAGATCAGTTAGTTGTTAAGCTAGTCGGTTATGGGAGTTGTATTCTACTTGTATATAAATGTGTGCATGGACTGATATGAGGCTATGAAATGTTTTCCAATGCTTTCTTATCATCTTCCCGATTCTGTGCTCCATGTTCGAATTCTATTCATTTCTTAGAATTCCTACTTTTCAGTTTTAGTTCTTCGCTTTTATAGCCTAGACTATTACAATCTTTGTTTGTAATTGCGCAATGCAATTGCGCCTCATGGCGCGCCTCAGCTAATTCCTAAACTATGGCATAAAAGGCATTGCATATGGCGTTGGGAGTGTGGCATACGCAATATTGCACTGAGGCGTATGCAATATTGCATACGCAATAAGGCGCTCTGAGGCGTACGCAATAGGAGAAGGTCAGGGTGTAAGGGTATTATTTGGGTCCACCCGGCCCACTTTTAAATTTTTATAATTGATGTTATGATCCCTATTTCAAACCACTAGTTATTGATTGGATTTTTTCAGTCGATCAATCTAATTAATTTAAATTCTCATATCTTAGATTTTGTTTTTATAAACGATTCAGAAAGTTTTGGTATTCTATGGTACTTTGAAGTTTGAACATATTACTTTGCTACGACTATGGCCTCTTATGATTTGTTTTAATATAACATTTGACGACTTTTGACAAATATGTTTATTTTTTATTATGTTTATATATATATATATATATATTACGCCTCAGGCATACGCCTCGTTGCGCAATGAGGCTTACGCAATATGCAATATTCAAAAAAAACGCCACGACTACGCAATACGCAATTTTGAACCTTGAATTTACAATTGGTATCAGAGCTCCTACCTGAATTATAGATTCAGTCATCACCGATCTTAATCCAATAAAGATCATACGCAAATCCTAGCGAAGAAAGCTACTGTGGCGTCGTTATCAGCTTTGATGGAAGAAAAAGTACAGGGTATAGAACAACGGTTGGAGGAACAACATCTGCTGAATGAGAAGAAATTTGAAGAAACAAATCTGAAATTGGATGCCTTGTTGACCTTGCTGCAAAAGAAAAACGGAGAAGAACCTCCCTCGCTACACATTACTTCTCAGGTCATCCAATCTGCACATGGAAATTCTCATTCCATTGCTAGGTAATTGTGCTAAACCCCCTGGATTCTCTCCCAACATTGAGTTTCAAAATTTCTCAGGGAATAATCCTAGACAATGGATACAAAAATGTGTTAAGTACTTTGAATTGTGTGCGGTTGAGAACAATAACAAAGTAGACTTAGCTTTTCTCTATTTGACTGGTCGTGTTGAATCCTTGTTTACAAGTTACATATCTGCGCATAAAAGAGTACCTTGGGAACAATTTGTGATTGACATTTGTGCAAGGTTCAATGAGGAATTAGGGAGCACAGTTACTGAGGAATTTAATAAATTGTAGCAGCTAAAATCTCTTGATGAATATTTGGATCAATATGAACAATTAAGAAGTTTGATGTTGCAAAGAACTGACAGATTACCGGAGGAATTTTTTCTGGATAGCTTTATTGGGGGGCTCAATCCTACTATCAAACACTTTGTCGGGGCCTTCAAACCTAGGACTCTGATGCAAGCTATGGAATATGCCAGACTGCAAGAAAATCATTTAAATGCCAGACTGCAAGAAAATCATTTAAATGCTATGAAAAAAAGGGGAAGAGAAGAAATGGAGAGGTCTGGTTACAGAGCTTCAGATAAATATGGGGTGTCAGTTCCCAACACGAAGGGTTTGTTACCCAATCCTACATCCATAACAAGAGTCTACCTAACCCAAGAAGAAGAAAACATCACTGCTGCAGACATTGAAGACAGAAGAAGGAAAAATTTATGCTTTTATTGTGATGAAAGCTACTTTCCTGGACATAAGTGTAAGGCCCAAATGTATAAGATCCAGATCTTACCTATTGAAAATTCAGAAGAATCTGATACCAGAGAAGGGGAAGAAAACATATGGGACACTCATCCAAAAGAGGAAGTAATAGAGGAAGTTTGGACAGATCCTGAAGAACAACCCTTGATATCTCTTCATGCAATAGCAGGTCTCTAGCACTATCAGACCATGAGGGTCACTGGTAGATACAAAAACAATGATCTGCATAACTTAATTGATTCAGGAAGCACCCATAATTTCTTAGATGCCCATATAGCTAAGAAATTGGGATGTAGAATCTCAAAATCTATTCCATTAGAAATCTCTGTAGCTAATGGGATTAAACTGCTCTCTAACCAGATTTGCAATGATTTTAAATGGAGTATACATGGACATGAGTTTCAAACCAAGGTCATGATAGTACCTTTGGGTGGATGTGAAATGGTGCTGGGAATTCAATGGTTATCTTCATTGGGGCAGATCAAATGGAATTTCAAGGAGTTGACTATGGAATTCCAATACCTCAACAAAAGGGTGGTGTTGAGAGGCAGTCAGAAAGGGAAGATATTATCTATTCAAGGGGATCAGATATCTAAGGAGATCAGTAAGACAAAGAACACTACTATGGGGCAATTATTTGTAATGCAGTTACACCAACAAGAAGTTCAAAAGAAGCAGGAGGAAGGGAGCATACCTAAGGAGGTTCAGCTGATCTTAAAAGAATTCAAAGAAGTCTTTGAAGAACCCAAACAACTGCCACCTCACAAAACATATGATCATCAAATCCACTTGAAACCGGGGACTACACCTATCAATGTCAGGCCTTATAGATATCCCATGGTACAGAAGGATGCTATTGAAGAGACCACTATAGACATGCTTAAGCAAGGCATAATCAGGCATAGTCAGAGCCCTTACTCAGCCCCTGTAGTGATGATCAAGAAGAAAGACTGCAGTTGGAGATTTTGTGTAGATTACAGGGAACTCAACAAGCATACTATCAAAGATAAGTTTCCTATACCTGTCATTGATGAACTGTTAGACGAATTACATGGGTCTCAAATATTTTCTAAAATCGATTTGAGAAGTGGGTACTGGCAGATCAGAATGAAGGAAGAAGATATAGAAAAGACAGGATTTAGAACTCATATGGGGCACTTTGAGTTTGTAGTTATGTCTTTTGGACTGACTAATGCACCTTCAACCTTCCAGAGTTTAATGAACCATATCTTCCAGCCTTATCTAAGGAAGTTCATCCTAGTCTTCTTTGATGACATCCTTATCTACAGTCCTGACTTGACTTCTCATGTTCTCCATGTGAAGATGACTCTGGAAGTACCGAGACAGCAAACTCTCTTTGCTAAGATGAGTAAATGCTCATTTGGAGTTTCTGAGATTGATTATCTGGGGCACATAATTTCCAAGGAGGGGGTAACTACTCATCCCAGCAAAATTGAGGCTATGATTAAATGGCCTAGTCCCAGGAATCTGAAAGAATTGAGAGGCTTTCTTGGTCTCATTGGGTACTATAGGAAATTCATCAGGCATTATGGAATCATCAGTAAACCACTCACTAATCTTCTGAAAAAGAGTGCTTTCCAATGGGGAGAAGAACAAGAAGCAGCCTTTGTGCAATTGAAAGAAGCCATGACACAAGCACCTTTACTGGCTCTCCCTGATTTCAAAATTCCATTTGTTGTAGAGACAGATGCTTCTGACATTGGGATTGGTGCTGTGCTTTCTCAGAACAAACATCCCATTGCTTTTTTGAGTAAAGCTTTAGCTGAAAAACACAAGGCTTATTCTACTTATGAGAAGGAACTGTGGGCAGTGATCCTTGCAGTAGAAAAATGGAGAGCATATCTAACTGGCCAACACTTCATCATTCAAACTAACCATTTTAGTTTGAAATATTGGCTTGAGCAGAAAATCACTACCCCGTTTCAAAGCAAGTGCTTACCTAAACTGATGGGGCTGGACTATGAGATTGTCTACAGGAAAGGTAAGGAGAACAAGGCAGCAGATGCACTATCTAGAGTGATTACTAGTGCATTACTGAGTATGATGAAGAAGATAGAACTGAGTTGGTCCTTAAGGGGACTTCCCTAAAATCATTGACAAACTGAAGGCAGGAGATACTATCAAGGAGAAATATACATGGAGGGATGAGAAATTGATCAGAAAGGGCAGAATTGTGGTGGGAAATGATGAAAGCTTAAGAAAAGAAATTATAGGTGAAGTGCATGGATCTGCCATTGGGGGTCATTCAGGCATACAAGCAACTTATCAAAGACTCAAAACCTTCTTTTATTGGAAGAAGATGAAAAGGAATGTAAAAGAATGGGTGATGACTTGCAACATTTGTCAAAGAAATAAACCCCTCTTGTTGAAACCTGCAGGCTTATTGCAGCCTCTACCTATTCCTGAAAACATATGGACAGATATTTTCCATGGATTTTATAGAAGGGCTCCCTAAATCACAGAATAAGGACACCATACTTGTAGTGGTTGACAGATTAAGCAAGCATGCTCATTTCATCCTACTCAGCCATCCTTATCATGCCAGCACTGTGGCAAAGGAATACCTTGATAATGTCTTTAAATTACATGGCCTGCCCCAGTCCATAGTGAGTGATAGAGACAAGGTATTCATTAGTAAATTTTGGCAGGAGTTATTCAGAATGTTGAAGGTAGAACTAAAGCTATCCACAGCTTATCATCCTCAAACGGATGGTCAGACTGAGAGTGTCAATAAGTGCCTGGAAACGTACTTAAGATGCATGTCTAGAGAGCATCCAAAGGAATGGGCAAAATGGATCCCAATGGCAGAATGGTGGTATAACACCAACTTCCACTCATCCATAAACACTACACCTTTTGAGGTAGTCTATGGCCAATCTCCAGCCAACCATTGCCCTTTTGCTATGGGAGTTACCTCAGTAGAAGCTGTAGACCGGACTCTAAAAGCAAGGGAAGAGTGTATCAAGTTGCTGAAATTTCATTTGAAGAGGGCTCAAGATCGCATGAAAATTCAAGCAGACCAGCATAGAACAGATTTGGAACTTCACGTGGGAGAATGGGTTTATGTTAAACTGCAGCCTTATAGGCAGCAATCTGTAGCAAAGAGGATGAACGTGAAGTTGGGTCCCAAATTTTTTGGCCCCTTTGAAGTGATAAAGAAACTGGGACCGGTAGCCTACAAAATTAAACTACCTGATGAAGCTAGGATTCACCCGGTGTTTCATATTTCCCAGCTCAAGAAACATAAAGGTGATATCCATGTACAAATATCCCTGCCTCAGTTAGATTATCAAGGAGTGATAAGGGTTGAACCTATGTTGGTGTTGGAAAAAAAGATTGCAAAGAAAGGGAATCAAGCTGCAGTATATTGGTTGATTCAATGGTCAAATGGAGAGAAGGAAGATGCAATGTGGGAATCATATACCGAGCTGATCAAAAGGTTTCCAGAATTTGTGGAAAGAAACCTGTCAGCTTGAGGCCAAGCTGAATCTGGGGGGGGGGGGGGGGGGGGTTGTTATGAGCTTTGCCACATCAGCTTGCCACCTCATGTTATGAACCACGCATGCACACACGTGATCACACAAGTAGTTAGCTTTAACAGATCAGTTAGTTGTTAAGCTAGTCAGTTATGGGAGTTGTATTCTACTTGTATATAAATGTGTGCATGGACTGATATGAGGCTATGAAATGTTTTCCAATGCTTTCTTATCATCTTCCCGATTATGTGCTCAATGTTCGAATTCTATTCATTTCTTAGAATTCCTACTTTTCAGTTTTAGTTCTTCGATTTTATAGCCTAGACTATTACACGATATCGACCCAAATTAATCTTCTCACCTAACAAAGATGCAATTACGTTTGCGGCAGCTTCTTTTCACGATCGGACTAGAGGCAACGCAAATTAAGTTTTCCAGATACTTGACAGCCACTTGAAGAGAAATCAGCAGGGCTGTGTCAAAGAGAATCGAAGATGGAGAAAATCCTAATAGTCGATGAAGTTGGAAGTTGGAACTGGGGATGGCAACGGGTACACATAAAACCCAAACCTTCCTTATAAATGTTTGCCCCTAAACTGTCCTCCTAACCGTTCAGGTAATTTTTATTTCAACACTACCCGCCCCAACAGGGAATCGGTTTCTCCACGGATAATCACTGCCCAAATGATACCAAATAACCAATTTCTAATCCTACTTGTTAATGAACATCATCCATAGTAAATTATTTATTCAAAGCACCATAAAACATACAAAAGTAAATATTCAAGCAATCAAGCAGTTTTAGTCCTAAATTCATTCAGTTCGTATACGGTGGGATCATCCCACGGTGAGCACCATGCTCCACTCCCAAAACAACGTAGCTTTGCACAACTTTTCTAAAAAAATCACGTGAACAATACACGCGTGTACAGTAACTGTTTTTTTTGTCCCATTAGTATGAATGATATAACTCGCGTGTAAAGAAATATAACTCACACTGATAAGAAATGTAACTACAAGAAAGTGGAAATGTAACTTGTCTAATAAGTATTATAAGAAATAAAACATTGATTTCAATGAAAACAATGAGTTTAATTGCTCGATTACTTTACATAAATAGTGAACGTGTTTTTTATATTTAGGCCACAAATAATTTGTTTTTTCTTAAAATCATTTTTTTGCAAAAAAAAAACATTTTTTGGCAAAAAAATGATTTTTTGGTTTCAATAGCAGGGGCTTCTTTGAATAGTGAATGTGTTCTATTCTTAATATCATGGACATAAAAATGTTTTTTTTAAATCACTTGTTTTGCCAAATTTTCCATCATTTGCAATGGAGCCAAAGATTCATTATTTTTTGGCTTGAGATTATGATGGAATAAAGCAAAATGACTCACTAAACTGTCTGCGCTTCTTTGTTATGAAGCAGCAGTCAGTCCATGCAATTTTGGACGGGATTTTCACTATGGGTCATCCGGAAACAGTCTCTTTGTGCTTTAGTACAGGGGTAAGGCTGCGTACATCCGACCCCCCTTATCCCACCGTAGGTGGGAGCCTTTGTGGCACTGGGGTAAATGAAAATGATGACTTGTTTTGCCAAATAAATCATTTATTTGCCAAAAAAATAATTTTTTTGCAAAAAAATTGATTCTTTTTTTTCAATAGCAAGGCTTTATGTTGTGATGTAACTCGTGTTATGCAAAATGTAACTCGCGTTGATGAAAAATCTAACTTAGATGTATGCAAAATGTAACTTGTTAAAGCAAATCTAAATGGAACTCGTGTATATGAAGATGTAACTCGTGGATAAGAAGATGTAACTTCATATATTATCAAATGTAAACAATGAAAACAAGGAGTCTATTTGTTCAAATTAATTTATGTAAATAGTTAATATGTTTTGTTTTTAGTATTAAGGACATAAAAATGTTTCAAAGAAAAATAATATTTTTTTGCCAATAAAATCAGTTTTTCTTTCAAAAAGTCATTTTTCCAAAAAAAAATGATTTTTTTTTGCAAAATTGATTTTTTTGTTTCAATAGCGGGAGTTTATTTTTTGATGCAACTCATTTTATGATAAAATGTAACTCGCGTTGATGGAAATCTAACTTATGTGCATGCAAAATGTAACTTGTTGAGGCAAATCCAAATGTAACTCACGCATACGAATATGTTTTTTAATGTCTTAAAAACACTAAATACATTTAAAAGAGATAAGAAATATATTACGTAGTATTATATATTGCAAATAGATAAGAAACACATTATAGAAAAAAGTGTATGAATATGAAAAACATTTTACAATAAAAGTATATAAATGTAAAAATATATTACACAAAATATAAGTTTGGTAGTAATTTTTGTTGAAAAAAAAGTAAAAAAATAGTGTATGATTATTAATGCAATATACTTATTTTATGTGGATTAATAAATTTTTGTAATAAATTAGTTAAAATAAAGATTAAGTAAAATCACAATTAATCTTTTATTATTTTCATGGAGAGGAGAAAAGATTTGAAGAAAATAAAAAAGAAAAATAAAGAGAAAGAAATAATATACCTGGAGCTAGGGTTGTTAACGAACCGAGCCGAGCCCGAACACCATAGGCTCGAGTTCGGTTCGATAGTGTTTTGATAGTGCTCGAGTTCGTGCTCGAAGCTCGGCGAGCTCTGTTTATTAGGCTCGAGCTCGGTTCGATATGTGTTCGAAGCTTGGTTCGGATACTCGATAGGCTCGAAAAAATTCTCTCAATTACTAAACCTATAAAATCCAATAAGAATGTCATCAATTTCTTTCCTCTTACGTACAACTCCAAAAACTATCATCAACCAATAAGTTGCAAAGAATCATTTTAGAAGAAAAAAAGGAACAACCAATTGAAGCTCAAGTGTTCAAGCAACATTACTACAACTAAATAAAATCTGTCCAAGCTTTCCATACCTGAGTGTCCATATGTGTACTCTTTTGAATTTGATAAAAGTAAATGCATACATAAACAATGTTGTACTTAATATAGACATTTTTATAACTAGTTCCAGGTTATTCAATCAAGCTGCTACTTAATATAGACATTTTTATAACTAGCTCCAGGTCAAAGTTCGAACTCTGAAATAAGCAGACTTGCCCATTCACGATTGGAGAAGATGAACGAAGTTGGAGATTAAGAAACCCTAAATTTTACTATGTATTTTATGCTTAAGACATAGATTTTACAATTTTAACTTTTAGACTATTACTTTTGGAGAATTACGACCAGGTCGGGTAAGTTTTTAGGATTGGAGTACTTCATAAGTGATACTCCGTAATAAATAAATAAATAAATAAGTATATGAATTAGTAGATAAGAAAGTAAAGTGGACACAGGGCCGGCCCTGAAAATTTGAGGGTCCCGTTCAAAATAAAAATCATAGGCCCTAATATTTAATACAAAAAACTAATAATAAAATAAAAGGTGATATCAAATTTTATAACAATACTTCATACTAAAATGCAATTTACTTATTGATGTAAGAAACCAAGAGCATTAATAAAGTCTTGAAATTAAACTACATTTATTTAAACAATGCTAGACCATCTCCAAAAATAAACAATGTTATACGTCTAAGATTCTGTTAAATAAAGCCTTTTATAATGTCTTTATATGATATTCTCTCACATCTTTAGACTGCTCTCAATTGCAACTAAATTCAATCCATTAAAAATCTCTTTTGTAATTAAAATTTTCAAAAGCTCCCTTTTGAAATAAAATCAGCTCTTAGTTTTCTTCTCCTTACGTTTTTCATATCCAAAGTTCATATTTTCTGATTCTAGGAGAAACTATAAATTTCTAAATTATAATTTATAAGATGTAGAAGAATCCAAAATTAACAATTAAAAAATATTGATACAATCAATTAAAGGAAAAGGTAAGAACAAAGACACCTCAAACGGCTGATAGTCTAAAACACAATGAACGAAGAAAGAATTCGCCGGCGAGAAGCTATCCTTTGGCCCTCGCTTCTGGAAATTGGAATCTGGCCGGCAGCAGCTTGGCTAGTTTCCTACGCCCGGTGGCAGAAACAGGACTCGTGACCTGCAGGGGCTCATTAACAAATAAATCATATGAATCACTAACGTCTTCTCACTAACGTGGTTGAGTAGGGCCCTTTATCAAATAACATCTTCTCACTTCTTCCCTAATATTAAAATCGTAACTTTCAATCGCTTTACGCAATCCAGGATCACCAACAATGTCGTCCTCTGATATTTCAACTTCTATTCGAGGCTTTTTAACATTATTTTCAACGTTAGGAGTGATATTATCTGACAAAGAAATTACATTATTTAATGAAGACCCATCAATTGTCTGCACTTCTTTGTTATGAAGAAGCACTAAGTCCATGCAATTTTGGACGGGATTTTCACTATGGGTCATCCGGAAACGGCCTCTCTGTACTTTAGTACAGGGGTAAGACTGCGTACATCCAACCCCCTTACCCCACCGTAGGTGGGAGCCTTTGAGGCACTGGGGTAAATGAAAATGAGGGAATGATGAATGAAGATCCATCAATAATGCTGGACCCTTTACCTTTGGGAAGCTTTGGATAAAATCGTAACATAGAGATTCTTTCTCAAAAAATTAATAAATTATAAGAATGAAGAATTAATAAATTATTAATTTAGAAATACTACAAAAAATTAAAATTAACAGATATAACCTAAAATTACCTTTAACAAATAATTTCCAACCCTACAACATTATCATTTACCAACCATTACAAATACTATCAAAAATCAACAAATAAAAAGGGATTTGCAGAATTACGGCATACCTGGCGAATGTCCGAAATCCGAATGGCCTACTCTGCTGACTGCTGCTCCAGGGTCCGGGATTCGGCTGCTGCGAATCGCACTTCGCCACTGCTGCCGTGCTGCGTAACTGCGTGTCTCTTGCTCTCTGCGTTGGCTGCGTACTGTTAACTTGTGAAGTGCTTAACTGCGTTCTTTGTTTTGGCCGTTTGGCGTGTTTAGGCGGAAGAGGCAAATTAGAGGGCTTATGGTTTCGAGCTTTGGGCCGCAGGGTAGGCTTAATATTATGTGGGCACTGGGCTGGCTGCAGCCTGCAGGGGCTATTTTATTAAATTTAATACGAAGTGTGTGTGTGTGTGTGTGTGTGTGTGTATATATATATATATATATATGGAAGAGATCAAATAAAAAGAGATTCTCCCGTGCAAAGTGCGAACAATTGCACTTTTTCTTCTCCGCGTTGCACTTTTGCATTTTCTGTTGCACTTTTTCGCGATGGCAAAAAACTTCATTTTAATTACAAAATTGCCACTGCATTTTTGATCAAATTTAGTTCACTTTTGGCTCATTTTGAGCCATTAGATCTCAAAATGAACGCACGAGATTAATTCTCACTTTGCATGGGAAGACCTATTTGTATTTGAACCCCCCTATAGGTCTTCCCATGCAAAGTGAGAATTAATCTCGTGCGTTCATTTTGAGATCTAATGGCTCAAAATGAGCCAAAAGTGAACTAAATTTGATCAAAAATGCGGGTGGCAATTTTGTAATTAAAATGAAGTTTTTTGCCATCGCGAAAAAGTGCAACAGAAACATGCAAAAGTGCAACGCGGAGAAGAAAAAGTGCAATTGTTCGCACTTTGCACGGGAGAACCTCTTTTTATTTGATCTCTTCCCTATATATATAATTGGAGGGGCTGGGGCACCTCCACGCCCCATGCTACTTCCGCCACTGCCTACGCCCTTCTCAAGTCGCAGGTCTCAGGCTCTCAACCACGCAGGTCCGATCCCCCGTTGTTCGTGGAAACTTAAACTGGACGCTTACTGCTCTCAAGATTTTGGGTTTCTCTATTTTAATTTGGACTTGGGTTGCTGCTACTCCCTAATACTACTACTATTTTTTCGGGCCCTCTCTTTTTTGAGGCCTTGTGCAGTGGCACAGTTTCTCCCTCCCCTGGGTCGGCCCTGAGTGGACATATGGGTAAAAAATTACTTATTTATATAAGTGTTCGATAGGCTCGGTAAAGTATCGAACTCAATACCATCATGTTCGAGTTCGGCTCGTTTTTTTTTTTTGAACTGTAATTGGAGCTCGTATTCGGATTCGGAGTTCGTTAAGCTCGGTTCATTAAGCTCGAAAATGAACACGAGCTAGAATTGCATTATAAATGTTCGGTTCGTTAACTGCCCTACGGTGGAACATTAGAGGACTTTGAGGGAAAAGAGATTGGAGGTCTTGGGGAAAAGAAAACAAAAGGCTACGTAGTGCTCCAATTGAAAATAGAACGGTATCGGTATACCATGCGCATGGTACACCGCTGCATCGGTACACCGGTATAACTTGCCAAAATCATTAGTATGACAAGCACTCAATATCTCTTGTAACATAATAAAAAAGTAGTATAAAGAAGAAAAAAGGAACTCAGTAGAATCCTTGATAATGAGAAAGATTAGAAGCCACCGACGTTAGAGCCGAACTATAAGCGAAGCATCGTTCCAAACTTAATAATCATGATAGATTATAAGTCTAGAGAAAGGGGAGAGCTAGAGAGAGAAGTGATTTGTATTAATGAATTTCCAATCCTTTACATGGCTCCCAAGGGGGGTATTTATAGGAGAAAAGTGGGCTGGGCTCCCAAGTTTTGGGCTTGGGAGGCCCATTACAATATAAGGCCTCTATTGGGCTGATTACATGAGAAGTCTAGTTCTGTGAGTTCCTTCTGGCCGACGGAGACGCTCGGCCGACGGAGACGCTCGGCCGATGGAGACCTTGTCAGGATGGGGACGCTCGGCCGATGGAGACAAGTCTTCTCCTTGGCTTCTGGAGCGTATTCCGGATTGACTCTTCTTTGGCCCACTGGATGACAGATGTGCTCCTCTTAGTCTCATGAGTATGTGGGTCATGGGGTCTGAACCCATATACTCCATCAGGAGTCCCCCACTCTCTAAACTGAGCGTAGATGAAGTGAAAGGGAGTAGATTCTTGTTGTTCTGATGCTTTTAGCCTTCGGGGGGTTACCTGGGAGTTCTGGCGTTTCTGGCCGATGCGGTGCCATAACTGATCCATCAGGAACGTCCTTCATTTCGAGACAGATGAATGTCCTTCATTTCGAGGATGATGAATGTCCTTCGTTTCGAGGACAATGTGTGGCATTGGCCTTGAGGACGAGGAATGTCCTTGGCTTTGAGGATGATATATGTCTTTGATTTTGAGGATGATGTGTGTCCTTGATACTAAGGAGGATGTGTGTCCTGCTTTGCGCTTTGGCTTTGTCTTGGCCGAAGGTGGACGTCCATGGTGTCCTCGTCATTCTGACCGACGGTGGATCACATGATTGAGGACGTCCATGGCTTTGTGCTTTCAACTTTAGCTGATGGATCGTACACTTGTGGACGTCGTGGTGCATAGATGATATGACGTCGTTGCAGTTGTATACTTGTAAGTTCTTGGATTTTCAATTTCATCCTTGCGTTTGGAGGCCGATGTAGTCCCCCAGTCCCCCACTTCCTGAGGCGAGAGTACTCGAGGCAAAAGGGAGAAGAGTAATGCATGTCTTCAACACGAGGCTGAGGGTTGACACCGTTTGATCCACAATGGGGCGATGTCTCGTTAAAAACCTCATTAGGAAAAACCATTGTGGAAAAAAATCCTAATGAGGGAAAAAGAGCATATTGGATGCCCCCCCAAAATGAACTCCAAGGGGTGAACCCTTCAGCCTGGGTGTGGAGCTGCAGCGGTGTCCGTCTGCTGAGGGGACGCCCGTCTGCTGGTGAGGACGATGGCACTGATGAGCCGGTCCGAACTTGAGGACGATGTGATGGACACCTGTCTGAATATGAGGACGATGGTGGTGATGAGTCGTGCGTCATATGAAGGCGAAGGTCGCTATCCAGGAAGGGAATGGCGAGCCCAGTCCTAAGCTCAAGACTTCGGCGCTGAGGGGCCGTATTGAGATAGATCATCACGTTGAGGCCGAGGGGCCGATCGTGATATGAGGACGAATGGCATTGACGAGTTGGTTCATAAATGATGACGAGGCGATGATGAAGTCGATCGTCATATAAAGGTGATGGTCACCATCCCGGAAGGGATGGCGATCCTAATTGCTAGCTCAAGACACTCGTCGCAGGAGAAGTCGGTCTTGAGATATAGGATCACGCCGAGGCTGAGGAGCCGCTCGTGAACTGAGGACGATGAAACTGAGAGGCCGTTCGTCGTGAAGGCGACGGTCCCCATCCTGGAAAGGATGAAGAGCCTGATCGCTTTGACCAAGACTTGGGCGCTGAGGAGCCAGTCTTGATGTAGATAATCACTTCGTAGCTGAGGGGCCGGTCGTGATGTATGGTCGTCAGCACTGAGAGACCGATCCGAAAGTCCAAGCAGCGGTCCTTATCCATAAAGTGAGAGGATGAGGCCGGTCTTCAAGGTATGATGATCACGTTGAGATCGAGGGGTCTGCTGTGTCGAAATGAAAGATCACGTTGAGACCGAAGGGTCTGCCGTGATGTGAGAATGACGGCGATGATGAGCCGTTCCACTAAATGATGACAAGGCAATGATGAAGCCGGTCGTCATATAAAAGCGATGGTCGCCTATCCGGGAACGGAATAACGAGCCCGATCGCTATAGCAAGACTTCGGCGTTGAGGAGGCTGGTCTTTGAGATAAGGGATCACACTGAGGCTGAGGAGTCGTTCATGATATGAGGACGACGAAACTGAGAGGCCGTTTGTCGTATATATGGTGAGGCGTTGATGAAGCCGCTCGTCATGTAAGGGAGAGGGTCGCCATCCAGGAAGGGATTAGCGAGGCCGCTCACTGGGTCAAGATGTTCGGTGTTGAGGAGCCGGTCTTGATGTAGATGATAACGTTAAGACCGAGGGGTCTGCCGTGATCTGAGGATGATGGCGCTGGTGAAGCCATTCGTCACATGAAGGCGACGGTCTCCATCCAGGAAGGGATTGGTGAGCCCGCTCGTTGGCGCCAGACGCTCGGCGCTGAGGGGGTCGGTCTTGAGATGAAGAGAGGCGTTGGACGCCCATCTTCTGATGACAACGACGCTGATGGGGCCGTTTGTCAGATGTAGACGAGGGTCACCATCCAGGAAGGGAATGGCGAGCCCGCTCGCTAGCTTAAGACGCTTGGCGTTGGGAAGTCGGTCTTGAGATATGGGATCACATTGAGGCTGAGGGGTTGTCCTTGATCTGAAGATGAAGGACATGGCGTTGATGACGTCGGTCCTTTGCTGAAGGACGATGCGTTGGCGTCCGGCTCAAGATAAGGGACAATGCTGGAGACGCTCATCCGAAGATGAGGGACGGCGAAGCCGGTCCTATAATAACCAGGCTTGGACGCTCGTTTGAATATGAGGGACGGCGCTGGGCGCTCGTTTGAAGATCAGGCACGACGCTTGAACGCTTGTCTGAAGATGAGGGACAACGTTGGGCGCTCGTCTGAAGATGACGGACAAGGCGTTGATGACGCTGATACTTTGCTGAAGGACGAGGTGTTGGCATCCGTCTCAAGATAAGGGATGACGCTGGAGACGCTCGTCTGAAGATGAGGATAAGGAATTGATGACGCTGGTCCTTTGCTGAAGGACGAGGCGTTGGCGTCCGTCTCAAGATAGAGGACGACGCTGGAGACGCTCGTCTGAAGATGAGGGGCGGCGGATCCGATCCTAGATTAACCAGGCTTGGACGCTCGTCTGAAAATGAGGGACGGCAATGGGTGCTCGTCTCCTGACGATGACGACGCTCACGAAGTCGGTCGTCTGAATATGAAGGACGGCATTGGACGCCTGTCCTTTGAGGATGACGGTGATGATGAGTCCGTCTGAAAATGAAGGACGGTGTTGGACGCTCGTCTGATGATGGGGACAACGCTGATGAGGCTGTCTGAAAATGAATGACGGCGTTGGGCCCTCGTCTGAAGGTGAAGGACGACGTTGGGCGCTCGTCTGAAGATGAGGGACGGCGGCGATGAAGTCGGTCCTTTGCTTAAGGACAAGGCATTGGCGCTCGTCTGATCCGCATGTATTGTCTTGCTTCGTCCATAATACATAGTAT